ACTGACCTTGCAATGCAGTGTATTATCCCACAGTGCCACACCAGGACTCCTGTGCTTGTCTCTAGATGTCTAGGAATATGTAGAGTTTTTTGAAGTCTCATGTGGGATTCCTCCATAACTCATCTGTCACTTTGTCGTACTGTGGTGCCTTGTGAGTTGCTGTGATTCTGAAAGCTATACCACCGGTATTTTAAATACCAGCAGTGTCACCCATGGTGGACAGGTTTCAGATGAGCTTCCAGATGAAGACAGACTAGGGAGAAAGAGTGACAAAAAACTTCTGAATATTTAGTCACTGAACACCTTACAAATAGCAGAGAAACACTGTCAGATATAGTGCTGGAAAATGAATCCCTCAAGTTGAAAGGCACTGAAAATGCGACTGGAGAAGAGCTGCCTCCTCAAAGTAGAGTTGACCGTGATGAGCGAATGGAGTAAAGTCCATGGGACCTTCATTTTCTGATGGGGCACAACTCAAAATGAAGAGAAACCGCTATAAACATCCATTTAATATCAGAACATGGAATGTACGAAGTATGAATCTGGGAAAATTGGAGGTTGTCAAAAATGAAATGGAATGCATAAACATCGATATCTTAGGCATTAATGAGCTGAAATGGACTGGTATTGGCCATTTTGAATCTGATGACCACATGGTTTACTATGCTGAAAACGACAATTTGAAAAGGAAAGGTGTTGCATTCATTGTCAAAAAGAACATTTCCAGGTCAGTCATGAGGTACAACACTGTCTGTGTTAGGATAATATCTATGCACCTACAGGGAAGCCCAGTTAATACCACTATTATTCAAATGTATGCACCAACCACTAAAGCCAATGAGGATGAAATAGAAGAATTCTACCAACTACTTCAATCTGAAATTGATCAAACATGCAATCAAGATGTATTGATCATTACTGGTGTTGGAATGAAAAGGTTGGGAGCAAAGAGGAAGGATCAGTAGTTGGAAAATATGGCCTTGGTGATAGAAATGATGCTGGAGAATGCATGATAGAATTCTGCAAAACCAATGATTTGTTTATCTCAAATACCTTCTTTAGATAGCATAAGAGATGACTATACACATGGACCTCACCAGATGGAATACATAGAAATAAAATTGACTACATCTGCAGAAAGAGACGATGGAAAAGCTCCATATCATTAGTGAAAACAAGGCCAGGGGTAGACTGTGGAACAACTATCAATTATTCATATGCAAATTCAAACTGAAGCTGAAGAAAATGAAAACAAATCCAAGAGAGCCAAAATATGACCTTGAATATATCCCACCTGAATTTAGAGATCATCTGAAGAACAGATTTGATACATTAAACACTAAAGACCAAAGACCAGAAGAGTTGTGGAATGACATCAAGAACATCATACATGAAGAAAACAAAAAGTCATTAAGAAGACAAGAAGAAGGGAAAGGTAAAAATGAATGTCAGAAGAGACACTGAAACTTGCTCTCCAGCATAGAGATGCTGAAGCAAATGGAAGAAATGAGGAGGTCCAAGAGCTGAACAGAAAATTTCAAATATCAGCTTGAGAAGATAAAGTCAAATAATTCAACAAAATATGCAAAGATCTGGAATCAGAATACCAAAAAGGAAGAACATGCTCAGCATTTCTCAAGTTGAGGAAACCGAGGAAAAAATTCAAGCCTCAGCTTTCGTTATTGAAAGATTCTCTGGGCAAATTATTGAATGATGCAGAAAGCATCAAGAGAAGATGGAAGGGATACACAGAGTCACTTTACCAAAAGGAAATGGTTAATGTTCAATCATTTCAAGAGGTAGCATATGATCAAGAGCCAATAATACTGAAGGAGGAAGTCCAAGGTGCATTGAAGGAATTGGCAAAGAAGAAAGCACCAGGAATAGATGGAATAAAAATTGAAATCTTTCAAGAAAGTAAGGGGCCACAGGAGGCACTCACTCATCTCTGCCAAGAAATTTGGAAGATGACTATCTGGCTGACTGATTGGAAAAGATCTGTATTTGTGCCCATTCCAAAGAGAGGTAACCCAACAGAATGTGGAGATCATCAGACAATATCTTTGATATGCCATGCGAGTAAAGTTTTACTAAAGGTAATGCAGAAATGGCTGCAAGTATTCATTGACAGAGAACTTCCAGAGGTTCAAGCCGGATTTAGAAGAGGCAGTAGAACGAGGGATATCATTGCTGATGTCCAATGGATCTTGGCAGAAAGCAGAGAGTATCAGAAAGATGTTTACCTGTGCTTTATTGACTATGCAAAGGCTTTCAATTGTGTGGATCATGACAAACTATAGACAGCATTGCAAATAATGAGTATTCTGGAATGCTTAGTTGTGCTCATTAGGAATCTGGATATGAACCAAGAGGCATTTATTCAAACAGAACATGGGAACACTGAATGTTTTAAAATTAAGAAAGGTGTGCGACAAGGTTGTATTCTTTCATCATACTTATTCAAACTGTATGCTGAACAAATAATCTGAGAAGCTGGGTTCTATAAAGAAAAATGTGGCATCTGGATTGGAGGAAGACTCATTAACAACCGGTGATATGCAGATGATACAACCTT